CATAAACTACCGAACAATCCCTTTTTAAGCCTCGGTCCTGCTGCGGCGAGAATCCCATATCTCCCAAGCCAGTAACACGATCCGGATTTCTGATCAGTTTAGTTAGACATCATATAAGCCTCGGTAATCACACATACCAACTTAATCTTATAATGACTCACAGTAATTCACACATACTGTACATAATCTTATCTAGTTCGATCGCGATCAATCACTTAGATCCGACCTTACTTCATAACACAAAACTGATTTCTCATAGTCATGAATACCTCCGAGAAGTTTATTGATCATCAAACAAGTATTTGGCAAGGGTACTTGACTCCCAATCTCTTGTCTCATTGATCTCAACTCTCGAACTGCATTCATACTATATGATCACTTAACAAGCACACACACAAACAGTTTGGTCTTACGGTCATCTCAACTATTTGCGAAGCCTCACAAAGCATCGGTTCTACTCCAAATGAGAATCACACATCCCCTTGAACTAGCAACTCGATCCGGATATTCACACAGCTAGTTAGATACCATGTTTTAACAACTCGGTACTTTGTACCACTCCCATTTACATTCACACATTGACCTTGCTACGCATATCCACTAACTTACACAAGCCATCAATGAAAATCAGATAACCTAACAATCAAACGATCCTTATTATACACAAATTAAAATCTAATTTAAAATCTGATTTTGGTTTAGTTTCTTTTATATTTTCAGATAAAATTATAAGTTTTAGATCAACTATTTTTCGTTAGGTATAAATTCAGATTTTTTTAGATTTTTAAAATAAAAAATATATTAAAATAATATTAATATATGGTTTAATTCTTTTAATTCTATCCTTTTGGTTTGAAATCTTTGGAACGCACCAAATCAGCTTGCCTTAATTCCTAGTGTTGGGACCAATTTTACCAAGCCCAAAGGGGATCCGACACGTGGATATTGAAGTACTCTAGACATTGATACACGCTATGCTAGCTCGGCCTAACCATTCCCGCGCACTGTTCCCGGGCAGTTGGTGAGTTTTCCTAAACACGCAAAAATCATCATCACCACCTGCTTTCCTGGTGTGCCGAGTGTAGAAGACAGGACATGGAGATTGCTGGTATAAAAGGAGAGACCCAGGAAGAGGATCTGCTCGGCAGATCTGAAACCCCTCTAAGGGAAGTGGTGACCAACCGAAACTGAGTCAACCAGCCCCGACAAGCAGCACGATCAAGGGAGAACCCCTTGTTCTCCCGAGTGAATGCCTTATAGGATAAGTCTTTCTCGACCCGGAATCTTGCTTTTATACTAGCCGCATCTTCTCCCTTTGTATAGAATACAAAGGGTGGAGCTGGCTGGGGCAGATGCTGACGAAGTGGCCGAAGTCGACCACCACCCAAACAACGAAAAGCAGGCTTTCCACTCGCAAGACGACGAACTTGAGGCCGACATCTCAACTGAACGAGAAGAAGGATGTGTGGCGGAAAAAAAGAAAATCTAAGAAGAAAGAAATCTGCGGTTCGCTTCAAAAATAGAGTGAAACTACAAAATCACAGACTTTGCGGTTTTATAGAAGAAGAATAGATCGAAGCAACACGCGAGGAGAATCGCGTCGCTTGGGGAAAGCCAAAAATCAGCAGCGGTTCTGTAATTATTAGTCTTTCGAGCCATGCGTGGGAAGTAACGCGCATTTAATGCAGAGAGAGAAGGGCAGCCCGTCGCAGCAAAAAAAAGTGACAGGCATCTCTCGAGAAGTGGCGCATGCTGCATGAAGTGATGCGCTGTGCTTCAAACCACCAGAGACCCGCAACGTGAACCGCATTCACCAGCGTCGAAGGATTGCAAAAGAAGGCTCAAACGAAAGCCATCGGTCCCACCAAGATCAAGAAAAAATCAGCTGACGAACAGTCACAATGGTATGAAATTCGCACCCTTACAGGAAAACTGCCACTCGCTCTCGGGCGAGATTAGCTCCGGAGACGGGTTGCATGAGGGCCACGCTCGTGGGTCGAACGTAACCGCCCGTGCAGCTCGAGCCCCATGGGGTTTTATGGTACCCATGATCATGGACAAAACGTGGCCGTCCCAAAGATAGTCTTAGCTGCCAAGGTTGCATTTCTTGCTTGCATGATTGTTTGATTTCTTGCTTGCATGATTGTTTGATTTCTTGTTTGCATAATTGTTTGATTTCTTGCTTGTATGATTGTTTGACTTCTTGCTTGCATGATTGTTTGATACCTTGCTTGCATGATTGTTTGATTTTTTGCTTGCATGATCGATTTTTTTATTGCATGATTGTTTGATTGCTTGCATGACTGTTTTCTTGCTTGCATGATTATTTGATTTCCTACCTGCATGGTCTCAAGCCTATGACTGTAACGTTTCTTGCATACGTGATTGTGTACTCGCCCCGCTTGGGCAACAGAGAAACTCTTCCCCCTTATCATATTTGTAATCTTTCTCGTATATGCACCTTCATCTTCTGTCTCCCAATCTGTGTACATTCTTCCCAGTCCACCTCTTTCTTAGCATGCTCCCCCATGGACTTGCTTGTCTTCCAGGACACTATTCCTCCAGGAATTCAGGACTCCGGTCCAGCAGGCTCCCGTGGCTCGCCCTGTGCCAGCTCCCTCCGGGGACCACGCACACCTTGAGTATGCTCCTCCGCGGACTTACTCGCCCCTTGGGGCATTATCCCCTTGGGATTCTAGGATTCAGGCCTCTCAGATCTCCGAATCTTCCCCGCCAGTCCCCTCTAGCAGGCCGTGCGATAACGCTGACATGCTCGCCACTCAGGCACCACAGGAATTGAGGTCACCGACTTGCAGGCTTTCCCTTCCTGGTAATTTTTGACCTCTTCTCCTTCGGGGTACGTCACAAGCACGTTCTCAAAACCCAGAAACTTCCACGTAAGCACAACATGAAGACTGTCCAGGCAGTAAGGGAGTCGAGGTAACGCCATCGGGAAACGCCTTACTCCCCACCAGCTGCATTCGAGTAGCGACTCTCCCTTGCGTTAGCTCCCCATGACGCAGGAAACATCTATTCATCTGTCCAACGGCGCCACCTCTGGCCCTTGGGCCGGTGTCTTAGCCCGTGTCATTGTCTTATGTCGATCCCCATGATCACATAAGACTATAACTTCGCTCATGACCCTGATGAATGGGGGCAAGACGGCTTCTTGTCTAGTGCCTCACAAAGCAAGAAGTAAAATCCCTCCGAGAAGATGTCCACCAGTGGCCAGGCTATCAGTTCCATCGGGAGTGCATATCCTCCTATCCAGAGCAAGCGTCGTACTCCCCCGGATGCACGCCCCAGTCAGGATAGTACCCCATCATCTAACTTCCCCAGCCGAACGGCGTACTCCACTAGATATGTAACGTAGACGGAGCGAGCCTCTATATATATATATATATTTAGTCTGACCATCTCACGGTTCGTTTCCTCCGGAAACGTAATTTCTTCGACCAATAGCGTACTTCCCTGGATGCGAATAAGGTCGGAATTGACAACTATTAAGGCCGACTCGTGGCTCGCTTCTCCGGAAGTATAGCTCTCTCGAGCGATAACGTGCTCCCTCGGGAAATACGAATAAGGTCGGGGTTGAGAGTTTTTCTTTGTTTATTCTCCCGGCTAGGACCGTACTCCCTCATGATACGTGGCAAGGTTGGAGTTGACATCATTTTCTCACTTCCTTGGAAGTCTGGACCATCCGGCCAGTACCGTATCCCATCGTGATGCGCAGCGCTGCTCGGATAGGTCCCTATTTTATCACCTCCAAAAGAATTAAGCTTTGTCCAGACTAGATCCATAACTCTTGCGATACGCGGCATGGTCGTCGCATCAGTTTACCCTTTAACGACAAACGGTTTAGGGAATCGGGTAATCCATGTTCATTTTACAAGAAGCCGAGGAGGATTCAACTTCCCAACTCATCTCACGGTCAACCGAGAAGTCTGAGGCAACTATTGGAACCAATTTTACCAGGCCCAAAGAGGATCCGGCACGTGTACATTGTACTACCCTAGACACTGACACACGCCATGCTAGCTCGGCTGAACCACTTTCGCGCACTGTTCTCGGGCAGTTGGCAAGTTTCCCCAAACACGCAAGAATCATCATCACCACCTACTTTCCTGGCACGCTGAGTGGAGAAGACAGGACATGGAGATTGCTGGTATAAAAGGAGAGAGATCATCACCAAGAAGAGGATCGGCTCGGCGGATCTGAAACCCCTCTAAGGGAAGAGGTGACCAACCGAAACCGAGTCAACCGGCCCGGAAAAGCAGCACGATCAAAAGAGAACCCCTTGTTCTCCCGAGTGAATGCCTTCTAAGATAAGTCTTTCTCAACCCGGAATCTTGCCTTTATACTAGCCGCATCTTCTCCCTTTGTATAGAATATCCTTCGAAACACCTGCAAACAGATATATGTCTCGATCCCTAGACAAGACCTCTTTCCACACTCGTAGAAACATCCCTCCTGAGTACTAGTTTCCGGTAAGACATTCATTGACTTGGACGATGGAGAACCTTCAGAAAAGAAACCTTCTTTCGGCTTTCCCAAATGCCCGATTGACTTCTTGTGTAGTGTTTGCAGGATCCCACATTACGACCACCCGTTGTCAGGACTCAAACAGACTTACGCTCCGGAACGACTCATAACCTTTTCTCCAGAGGATAAGACTCGGAAACACAACTCCACTCCAGACGAACCACACATTTTCATAAACATTTCGAAATTTGCTCTCAAACACATTATATTTATATTATGAATATTTTGATTGCAGCACCGAATCAAACAAAGCCACGAGTTCCCGACTCCCAACGCATAAACCACGTTTGCACCAAATTTGATTACTGTTATTTTGTCGTAGAGTAATTTTGATTAAACCTAAAAAATATGAATTTTATTCAATATATATATTTTAATATATCTGGTGAGAGGCTTTCTTTCTGTGTGATGGACCATTTATTAATGACTGGTCGACGAAACTAAGCAACAACATTACAGTATTTTTATAAATTTGGTTGTGGAAATCGACTTGATATCATTTCATTGGTGGTGAACATGGAAACCATAACAGCTTTTGGGCCAAAGCATGGATCTCAAGTCTCTTTTCCTTCACGAACCAACCTGTTTCAGGAAACGAAACTCTCTCGCTTTCCACTAACGTCACTTCAACGTAAGCCAGCAAAGAAGGTTTCTTTGAAGGCAACTCCTTCTCCGACTTGTGATGGTCGTACGTTCAAGAAGTTACCACCTTCTGAATGGACTGACCAGTTCCACTCTGTTTCCGTCGATGTCTCGGTGAGTCTAACAAAACATATATACACATACATAGTTGTATTAAGGAGATCAATACATGTTTTATATTAAGCATATCTTTTTTAGGAAATGGATGTGCTTGGGAGAGAGATAGAGTCACTAAAGCCGAATGTGGCAGAGATGCTCATGTCTCCCAAAGGCGTTGACTCAGTGAAGAAGAGAATCCTTAATATCTATTTGCTGGTGAGCCTTGGTCTCGCGTATCACTTCGAAGATGGGATCGAGGAGAGTCTTAGAGATGATTTCCAGAAGATAGATGCGTTAATGGCTGCTGAAGATGATTTGTACACAGTTTCCACCATCTTCTGGGTTTTCAGGACATATGGTTACAGCATCTCTTCCGGTAATGAAATCATCATACCTTCAACTCTATAAAGTAACTAATACTCTTGGTCAAAAAAAAAAACTAATACTCTGATAAATTTATTAATACTAGAAATGCCAACCTCGATAAATTAATATGATTATGACACAGTAATTAATACTTGATAAATTAAATGAGATCATAATTAATATTTAATATTCGATAAATTAATATTTTATAAATTGATACAGTAAAAACTTTATAAATTAGTTTTCTATACATTAGTAAAATCATGATACTCGATGAATTAATACTATAAATTAACAAAATTATAATGATACAATAGAAATTATATATATTAATATACGATAAATCAATAAAACCGTGAATACAATAAGGTTATATATTTTTGTTTTATTTCGTTCATTTATATGTATAACATGGGCGATCCACTTTGGCTATAATAGATGTATTCACGAGATTCAAAGAGGACAATGGGAAGTTTAAGGAATGTCTTATCGAGGATGCGAGGGGTATGTTGAGCTTGTATGAAGCTGCTCACTTAGGGACGACTACAGATTACATAATGGATGAAGCCTTGAGCTTTGCATCGAACAACTTGGCCTCGTTAGTAGAAGGCGAGATGTGCCCGTCTCATCTCTCCAGGCATATACAAAATGCTCTTTCTCTACCTCAGCATTGGAACATGGAGATAATAGTTGCAGTTGAGTATATCCGATTCTATGAACAAGAGGTTGGTCATGACGAGATGCTACTAAAGTTTGCCAAGCTCAATTTCAATTTAATACAACGCTGTTTCCTTCAAGAACTCAAAATCCTTACTAAGTAAGCAAACAGCCGATTACATATCCACTTTAAGCGTGACGTACGTTCTTTTTTACGAAAAATTTCTCATCTTCTATATATATACTTGTGATGCAAGGTGGTACAAGGATTGTGACTTTGCTTCTAACTTGCCACCATACTACAGAGAGTCAATAGTGGAAATGCACTTCTATTCAGTAGCGAATTTCTTCGAGCCACATTTCTCACGTGCGAGGATTATGCAGACTAAGTTGTTCATGACCGAAATGATTCTTGATGACACCTGCGATAGATATGCCACTTTTTCTGAGCTTGAAAGCCTAATAAAAAGCGTGGAAAGGTACACTACTTGTTGTAATTTCATAGAATTTATATTAATGGTCATGGTCATGATGATGTACAGGTGGGCTCCTAATGATGCTATGCCTGATTTTTTTAAGTTCGTGTTTAAATTTATATCGGATGCCTTTGAAGACTGTGAGAGAGAATTGAGGTCACAAGGAAGATATTACAGTTTCGAAGAAACAAAAATTGAGGTAACCGACGAAGCATTATTTTTTCTACTTAACATGGCTTGCAACGCAAAACTAGTTGACAATTAGTGGATTAACTAGCTCGCACCACCTATATATTAATGTAGATCACTAATCTATGTTCACACACTATATAAATTTTTATGCATTTCAATTTAAAAGGTGCAAATGGTGGCATGGGAAAGGAATAGGAAGAATAATGGATGAATGAAAACAAAATAAGTGAGATAATGTTTTCTGCCAATAATTTTTTCTATCATATTCCTCTCACATTTTACACTTACAATTTGTAGAGGAATACAAAATATGAGAGGAATTTGAGCATCTATATCGCTCAAACACGTAAAGAAAGTCTCTTAACAATCAAATATTATTATTTATATAAATAATTAACTTTTATTTTTCGTTTTTCAAGAGATTTGCGAAATCCAATAGCACCAGCGAGTCACGTGCCTAGCTTTGAGGAGTACATGGAGGTTGCTAAAGATGAGGTTGGGCCGTTTGTAATTGTGGCAAGCACTTTGATGGGTTTGGATAAGATCGATGCAGTTGAAGCCTTTGACTGGCTCAAGTCCAGATCCAAACCCCTTCAATCTTTAGCTGAACATGTGCGTTTTATGAATGACCTGACCGGTTTCAAGGTACGTAGGCATGGATACCTTTCTTTCCATCTGAAAATATAACAAAATTGCTTCACAATTTTCGTAGAATTAGTTATTCTAGCTATAATTTACCATGATTAGGATGACATGAGTAGAGGATGTGTCTCTACTGGAATGAACTGTTATATGAAGCAATATGGGGTTACCGAAAAGGAAGTGTTTAAAGAGTTCAAGAAAATGATTACGAACTCTCGTAAGAAGATGAACGAGGACTTCTTGAAGACAACTGATGTGCCACGTCGAGTTATGAAGGCAGCCTTCGACTGTGCACGCTCGGGATGCGTTGGCTTCAATGTAGGTGACGGAGTAACCTATCCCAAAGGAAAAATCACGAAGTATATCAAGTCGCTGTACGTTGATCAGATATTGTTTTGAAGAATTTGGATCCTCCTTACAAAGTGAACGCTATGTCCTATGTGGAAGAAAATTGAAGACAATAAGCAGTGCTTGCATGTGTGGTGTTTTTATTTTGTATTAAAATGTGTGTGCTCTTTAGCAAAAATAACAAAAAAAATATGCGTGTGTTTCCTTTAAAATTTTCTTTGGATTCATATGTGATTCAATAAAATTAAAGGCATTAGATGAAAGTGAACTATTCTGAGTTGGAAATGTTGCAAATCTATCTAGGAAACCTAGTAAATTAAGTTGACTAACAAAATGTATGGTTGTTATCAGAATGTTTTAATTTCTTATTGAATTCTTTTGACTGCATCATACCATTGTTTGCATATCAATGATCGGAATCCTGATAGTATTTCTTACACTAAAAAATCTATTAGGTTTTCTGACCAAATTTTCCAACAAACATACAAGAAACCAAGAAAACAGTACCTTTGCGATGGAAAATTCGGCTGCAAACTCGTCGCGAATGGCCCATAGCGTCGAACTTGCAACAGACACAAAAATGTTGTAATCAGTTAGCGGCAAATCAAAATCCGTCACAAAGCCGTGTAATATTTGCCACAGACTGTATATCACGCTGTTCAGTCGTAAAATGTTGCGACGGAAACTTTATATCGCAAATTTTGAAGCCGACACAATATATTCACGTCGCAAATAGGCCACAAAATTTGCGACACATGTGCGTCAGTAATTGTAAGTGACAAAATATCATCGCAAGCCCATCGTAAATTTTTTTTTTTTGTTAAAGTGCTTTCCATCGTAAATATAACTACGGATTTGCGGCACATAGAATTCTCTTGCGAATAACATGTCACAAATGCTTCACAAATTCTACCAAAGAGTCATCGCAATTTCGTTGTAATTGTGGCTTTGGTTTTATTTGAATAAGAGGCTAGATTTAAATGATGTAATAACTTATAGCAAACTGGTCATTGTTTTAAGAACCTCGAATTAATCTAAGTGTTTATGAATTATTATGCAATGGAATTGAATGCCTTGAGTTGAATCGATATATTTTAAAGTAAAAGAAAAACCTAAAAAAAATATGTTAAGTACTCTGTTTGGCCGAGAGGCCAATGAGTGATGGTCTGGCCGGGATAGAAATATCTGGTTGGGTTCTCATAGGGCTCGGGGGACGAACTGGTTATGCAATGGATTTGTGAACAGATAGCATCAATTCATTGGTGCAGCTTGGCCACTTCGAAATCCACCTTGTCAGAGAGTGTGTCACTAATGCGGGTTGGTATGTTTATCCCGTTTGCATCATCTTACCTCGCCGTTCTCCCTACAGTATGGATGGTAGGTATTAGAGGAGAAATGAGCACATTTCCTAAAAAGCTTTCTCTAGCAATAACCTAAGCCCATCAGGACCATGAAGACCGTGCCGATCTAGCTCGGACTAAAGGAAATATTCTGAAGATAATCATCGAAGACCGGAAACATCGGATCAGCTCCAAGAATAAAGAAGAATTTTCATATTTCTCGGAGAATAAGGGATATTTCCATATCGCAAATATGGAAATATCAACTGAAGGCAAAAAGGAAAAGGAGTTCGGAGCAACCGACCTCCTATCCCTATAAATAAAGAAGACCTCAAAGCTAAGAAGAACAACTCATACATTCTAGAGAGCAGCAGAATTAATCCCAGAGACTCCAACGCTTTCTAGTTTACTTCACAAAACACTTTTTCACTTCGGCATAACCTCTCGGTTATACCTTTCTTTGTAATCGCTTCGCTAACTTGCTATTAATAAAAGATCTTATTCTCCGAAACCCACAACTGTTAATCAAACCCTAGTGGTGATTTTCTGGTTCAACAGTTGGCGCCGTCTGTGGGACTAGGAGAATAAATTTTTGAAAAACTAGCAAACAGAAAGCCGAAGCGATGAGTCTCCCGACCGATAACAGCGATCTCATCCGCAACAACGATACCACTACACACACCGAGACACCCGCTCTTGGTGAACAAGTTAACTCAACCACCGCGAATCCACCCACGGAAGCGCTCCCAACTCCTATCCTCGCCTCCGACCTCGCAGCAGCGATCCAGGCTGCCATGCTCCCCCTCACGCAGAACCTGGTGTCCAAGCTGGACACCCTTCAGGCCCAGCAAACCAAGTATGACGAACAGCTCAGCGCCTTCGCGGCCGCAACCACTGCGAGATCATGACCAATCAGACGTCGACTAATCTTCGAGATACCGGAGCAAGACGACGCCCGAGGAACAGCACCGGCTACTAAGGAGCCATCAGAGGAGCTGAATTACGAGATCGCAAGGCTACACCAACAAATTAATGCAATCGGATCCCAAGTCCACCGAGCCACCAGCTCGGCACCCGAGATCTCGGCCATACTGTCAGATGCCGAACGCAATCCGTTTGCTTCGAGGATCACCGATGTACGACTTGGTGAGGTGATAAAACTAAAGCTCCCGTACTACAACGGGATGGAAGACCCCAACTTATGGCTGACCGAATTCAACGTCGCCATGAAGAGGCAGCGCTTCGAGACCGACCTCGAACGCGAGGAAAACCACTGCCAAATCTTCGTAGAGCACCTCAGCAAGGATGATCTCAAGTGGTTCTCTAACCTACCTCCGGATCGATCAAATCCTTCAAGGATTTGACCCATGCCTTCATCAAACATTATTCTATGTTCATCACGAAGAGGACGCTCAACCTATTCATTCTAGTGCAGGAACGTGACCAACTGCTCCACGATTTCATTGAAAAATTTAAGAACACTGCCACAGCTTACGACCAAATCCCATAAGCCTTAGCCATCGAGGAACTTATGAACGGCTCGTGGTTCGAATCTTCCTTCAAGGAAGATCTGCAGAAACACCCGAAGGAAACTATAGAAGACGCACTCCATCGAGCCCAGACCTTCATACGGATGGAGGAGGAAAGAACGTTCTACGCCAAGAAACACGGCATGGACGTGGCAAGCACCTCGAAAGACAAGGAGCCCGCAGGCAAAAGCAAGCATTCCTCTCACTCCGTTGTAGCGACTGGAGAGAAGCCCTGGAATCAGTGGACCTTAGAAGATCCCCCGAGGAACACGAGCGATAGGGACGATAATCACGATCTCTACTGCTCTTTTCACGGTCGAACAGGACATGCTACCTCGGCTTGTCGACACCTTTATAACACGCTGTACGAAAAGTACAAGGAAGACAAAATCAGCGTTAACGGTGATAGATCCCAAAAGCAAAAACTCTTATCCACGCAGTTCCACCTCCAGGGACTCGCGCCAAAACACCTTCAGCAGGGATCACCGAGATTCAGGGAAAAGCAGCAGCCGAGGCGGTTCTGGCGAACGTCGACGAAGTCGCTCGCCCGAGAAAAAACGCGAAGAAAAGGAAAAGGAAAAAAGAGCAGAGCGCCAGAATGATGAAGGCGAGCACGACAACCCACCCCCTCCGCCGAAGCGACGGGTTAACATGATTATGGGAGGACTCCCCGATTGCGATGATTCAGTTCGCGCCATCAAAGAGTATGGCCGCAAAGCAATCGCATCGCGAAAATTTCCTCGTCCGGTGGACTACCACCCAGCAATCACATTCACATCGGAAGACATGCACGGGTTACACACCCCGCATAATGACCCGCTAGTGGTTGAACTACACATCCATGACAGCGAAGTGGCTAAAATATTAGTGGATACCGGCAGCACTGTCAACATCATCTCTAAGGATACGTTGACCAAGATGGAACTCTAGGAAAAAGACATTAAGGCAGCACCAAAGCCTCTGACTGGCTTTGCCAGCGAGTCCATCTTCAGCCTCGGCACCATACGACTCACGGTCTACGTCGGCGGAGTGATAAAAATCGTTAAATTTATTGTGATGGATAAACCAGCAATTTACAACGCTATACTCGGCACACCTTGGATCCACGAGATGAAAGCTATCGTGTCAACTTATCATCAATACATGAAGTTTGCCACCTCGGCCGGAGTTTTTACGCTCTACGGGAATCAACAGATGGCAAGATCTTGCTTCATTAGCGAGCGAAAAGTGCAACTCTCCGCGGAAAAAGCTCTGGAGGACGCTAAATAAGCAAAAGAAGACTCAACAAATCTAGCTACTAATATTTAATTTTTCCTTTCAATAAAACCGGGCTTGGCCCCTGAGTGATACTATTTATTCAATTGTAATGAACTACGAATGGCTTGATTCCAATTTGGGTACATAGGCAACCTCCGGGTGCAGCTGTAAATCTAATAAAAATTTTAGTCCAGAAAATCAGCTCGGCGCATAGAGTCATATTTCCTTATGCGAATGCATCTTGCTGAATCGAGTGTTCTGGCCAAACATTCGATTCGAAAAAGCAAACATCCCAAATAAAAATTAGTGGCTGATCACCACTCCTTTGATACTTCGGTTTGATTTAATTACTTCTAAAGTGGATAAGAAGAAAGCTGATGACAATACTCGCACGACCCTCGATCATACCTTTCGGGCCGAAGTGAATCCCGAAAAATTGGTATTCAATCTTGATTGTCGTTTGGTGTAAGACGGGCAAAAAAATCCCGCTTCTAATTCCGAACTAAAAAGTTCCATTACACATATAAAAAGAGGAAGAATGAAGAAACTTTCATTATAAAAAATAATAATAATAAGCCCTCTCAGGCGAAGTTCTTACAAAAGAAAGAAGAAAGATAAAAAGATACACGCCGTCTAGCTCACTTTTGTAGGCTATCAATCTCTGATCTGCTCGGAAGATTAAGGTCCTCACTTGTAATAACTATCTCGTCGATAGCATCACTGGTCACTTGACGAACTCCTTCTCGAAAGACGGAAGGGTCCCGGCAGGAAGCTCCCACCTTTTATCCTGCATCTTCTTCAAGAAGGCCACCATGTAGCTACTTTTCTCCACACCGACAAGGACTGCTTCCACCTCTTCGTGATGAACCAGCGAAGCCTGAATCTGATCTAACTGCGGCCTAAACCAAGCGGTCATACTATCGAAAACTATGTCAGCAGCACCTCGAGCGACCTCCTCACAAGACTCCTGAAGCTTTTCCTTCTCGGCAAGGAATCTCTGTAAGTTCTCTTCGTTCTGCTTTTCGAGAGACTCGTTCTGGGCTTGGAGAGCAGCGACCTGCTTGCAAAGTCGATTAGCTTCGGCCACCTAGCCTTTAAAAGTTTCAACAGTGCCTTCCAGCTGAGCGCACCTCTCCT